AGACTTCCGCGCAATAACGACAAAAGCGCGCAGGATGATACGAAAGGTATGCGGAGCGTAAGAGGGAATTGCAAATGGTGTGTAAAAGATTTCTCCCGGCGAGTCTATGCGCGGTAAAATCCCGCTCTTGGTTGGGCGAGAGAATGTACCGGTAAGCGATTGCTGGGACGATCTTCTCTTGGATTAGAAATGCTAGCGAGTCGAATAACGATATCGACCCGATCGCGTCAAACTCGGATAAGCATTCGCAACGCGTCTAACGTTGCAAAGAAGATCACTCTCCATAAATGCAACGTAATATTTAATAAATCGAGAACTGTTACTTCCTCGGGACGTTTAGCTCTGTCAGCGGAAACGGTTATGTTGTTAAAATGTGTGCCCACGATGTGTTACGCGTGCAAGCGAATACGGAAGTAGCGAATAAAACGATGAAGAAATGTGAGGTTTAGACTGTTAACCAAGGTAGAGGTACACGTTGAATAAATAAAAACCCTACGTAATTACGAAGGACATTTCGAGATATGCAATTTGGAGGTACTACGCGACCGTACTTCCGCTGGATACCCTCCTCGACTTTCTTATACGCGTCCGCCTCATCGAAGACGACAAAATTGAATGAGGAAGGACATGTGCCGGCGACAAGCATTAACATGATATTCACGAGTACATCTCCGTCCGGAGACGCCGTATTATCCACGAGTTGCGCTCGTGCGCATACAGCGCATTTTGCTATCCTTTACCGACTTCGTCGTAGAACGAAAAAGTCGCGTAAAATCCGACCTCTCGTATTCGAGCAGCCACCTGCCTTCTCGATTCAACGTCATGCTTTACAACCGGCCCACGAGGAAACGCGCGTCAGCGAAAAATTTCACCGGAGCTGCTTACGTCACCGGTTCGCGCTTTCCGAGCGCGGAACGGCGATATTTTCCCGGGCGATCGCGTGGACCTTTCCTTCTCTCTCTTCTTTGTAGCTTCACGATGACGTGCGTCACGCTGGAAATGACAGTCCGCGAACTCCTCGGGATTCGTTAGTGCCGGTTTTTATGGCGAAAGTTTGTTAATAAAAGTTTGCTTGTCGAGGGCACCCTTAGAAGATTTAGTAGCGCGATCCCCCCCCCCCCCCCCCNNNCGTATTTTCTCTGTCACGGGATAGAAAAGAGCGCGGGGAAAGTTCCGTGCGCGCAGGAACCACGGGAAATAAAGGCGACGCGCTTTTAATAAGATTATCGTCGCGTCGCTTCGGTGACGTACGCCACAGACTTTCCGACAGGAAATTTCGGGACGGAACGTCGAAGTCGCGAGCGATTATAAAGAAGCGTCACGAGTGACGATATGATAAAGCCGTTCTGTTTGTGAAGGTGAGAACGGGCCGAGACGTTCGCTCTTTTCTGAGGCGTACTTCCTGCTACGATACTTCGCTTTATTTTCGAAAAAAAAACAACTTTTCACATCATTTGACGAGACAGAAAGCACGCCGAATAACATACCGGCTGTAGCTCGCTATTTCGCCCGGACGTATTGTTTGCATTATTCGTGATGTACATAGCGCGGAAAATGTTAAAATAATATTTTCGTTATTGAGAAATTGCACATATCGCGGAAAATATTCGCTTTCGCCATTCGCGGAAAGAACATCCAATCGCCCGAGCGCATTAACGATCGGTCTCATTCGGCCGAAAAGGCCTCCCCTCTCGTATACATTCCGCCACGTACGTTTTGCATGTTTTATAAATGCAGACACGTGCAAATTATTAGATTCGACATTCGTAAAAAAGTTAAAAATAACTAATTTTATATTCAAATATATCTTTATTTACTCTTTTTTAAAAATATTTTTATATTTTGCATGCATCCCCTTACGCCGATTTAATAAAAATGTTATTAATTTAATTATTGAAAAATAAAGCCAAAATGAGTTTTATAATTGATTCATGTAAACAAAATTTAAAAACGTCACAATAAAGATACACGGAGAAAAAAGGTTTGCTTCAGTAGTTAAATTAGTGTAGCATAAAACTTTGGCAGTGTGAGCAATTTTAATTGCTGCAAACTCTTACTGCGGTAACAAACTTTTTCATTGCAGCAGCAAATGTTACTATCGTAAATGTCATTTACTACTGAACATCTAATTTAACTACTGAAGCTAATTTTTTTTTTCCCGTGCAGCAGTTACCAGTAGAACAAGTGTGAACAACATACAACAATAGTATTGCCAAGTAACGCTGCTAACGGAAATAATTTGCGGAGAAAAAGAGGATTCCGTAAATGTTGCACAAATAAAAGTTTCATTGAGAATAAACCTATAAATCTTAAATATAAGAAAATTTTACGAAAGATATATTCATCTTATATTTGGATAAATAAAAAAATATTAGAGTTTCAGTCTAATAATTTGCACACATCTGTATTAACTCGTAATATCAATCAGCGAAATATATGCCTTCGCTCGACCTAATTGACATAATTCTGTGCGGTGCCAAGATCTTGCGCGGTGAAAATAAGAACGCTCTCCTTAGAGAAGAATCACCGTCGACCATAAAAGACGAGCCCCTGCGTCGTAGTTGCGCGATCGATCTCTAAGGCCGTTGCCGAATATTGAAACCATCGGGGAACAAATAAATAAGTTCGCACCGTGGGCTCGATAAATTTCGAAACGACCGCCTGAATAGATATTTGCCTGGCGTCTCTCCTTTCTACTCCGGGAGCCCGGCTCGGTTCTTACGTGCGCGACAAAAATGGGAAAAGAAAAAAACGCGGTTGTAAAAAATAGTAGCGTCAACGGGAGATGCCCTTTGATATTTCTAAACATCCAGTACACGAGAACGAATCGAATTCTTCTTTTTCCATCTTTTTTCTCGAAAAGACAAACCGAACGGCAAACTCGTTTGGCACGAGAACAATTCGCGGGAAAACTTGTTGTGGCAGAAAGTGTATTTTTTATATAAATAAAAAAAATGTCTCTGTTATAAGCTGGGAACAACGCGCGCAACGTTATAGCGAACATTCGTGTTTTTCGCGCACCCTGAATAATAACATTTGCTGCGGAAACTTCGCTGCGAATTCTCCACGAGGAACGGTCTAACGATACCGCGAATACTGGACTGCAAAAAGAAGAGTTAAACGACGAAATTATTACCGTAGGAGGGAACATTTTATCGGCGGCGAGGTATCTTTTGCCCGATGCGTAATTCCAGGGAATGCACAGAGAGAAAGAAACGGCTGTTGGAAAGGAACGAGTTATAAATCCGATGTAGCAGGATTGTGTCTCATCAAGTGATTATCATTGACGTTCAATAAAATTGGAGAATTGTTACAAGAACGAAGCAGTCTCATCTTGCCGAATATTCGCCTCTTAATCTTCTTATTGATGTAAATAAGAGAAATAAAGGCAGAAACAGCGGGAATGATACAGCTCGGAAATTCTAAAGCTACCGTGAGGCCGAGAGCATCGAAGGCAAAGAGGAACAAACATTTCCAGCATCGCTGGCTGCGAGGAACACCGTGCAAAAAGCTTTCATCTCGTCCTTGTGCCCGAGCCGCCTTTGGAAAAGCGCGGACACGGCGCAAAGAGATTTTCCACACACAGGGAAAAGGGGAGAGACACACCCACATACAAAGAAATGTCGCGCGATTAAGTTTACACGCAAGAAGGATCAAGGACATTAATCTGTAGGTCACACGTGTCGCGAATATGTCAACTTTTTATTTTTCGAAATCTCTGGCGACCTTATTATTTTTCACGAACAAATTGAATTAATCCACTGCGCGACCGGCGTCCCTAAAGAGCGCGCTGACAAAAAAGTCCCTCTTTCTCTCTCTCTCTCTCTCTCTCTCTCGATGAGTCATATTAATTTATTAACGACGGAAATAGAAGAGTCTCATTCTGTCTGTCTCATCGAGGAGTTACTATCGTGGGAGAAAATACGGAGTTGAATAATCGATTGATTACCGCGATTTAACACCACGTTAAACTCGCGGCGACGGCATTAACATTGAACGTTATCGGTTGCAATTATTCAACGCCACGATATCCAATTTTTATCGCACGCCATATTGACAATTACGCGCGGTAACGTCATAGCGCTGAAACGGGCCATGATTGAATTAGAACTTTTCTTTGATCAAGAGAATGGAAATATCGTGTTAAGACGAATCTACAATTCTAAAGCGGCTCGCGAAGCCCGCACGGATAAAAGCTCCACGTTGACACTGATCTCAGAACTGATCGCTGGGTCGTATCCTCGCGATCCTAATCGCTGCCCGGCGCGTTTCAAGTGCTCCGCGACGGGATCGATGCCAACTGTTGAATATTCGATGTGCCGCGAAATATAACGCGGTTATACTCTAGGCACGATTTATCGATTACCAGGATTTTCTATCCTGATTCGATTCCGGCCGATCGGCGACGTAATTACGAGCATTTTCGCTATAATTCGTATCTGCATGCCTTTACATTCCATTACGGCCGAGCGTAAACGTCAGGGATTTGGAACTTTTCCAAGCGATTTTCATCTCCTAGAGAGAAAATTCGGGACGCTTGCCAACACTTGTTTCTATCAGCCGTAACAACGGAACAGCTTTCACCGTGAGACAAAGTAAGCCTTTCAATATTGAATAGTCAACCGAGGAGTAAAACTTTTACATAAAAGAAATTCGCGTCCGATGTATGTCGATACCGAATTGAAATTTTAGTCCCACGTTAAGCCCAGTTTAGTTCTAAAGACAATAAGTCTTCAAAGATCTTTTATTGTGCTCCTTTGATGCAACAAATGAAAACTTATTTTCGTTTCCATCCCTTTAATATAGAATTCATCTCTCTCTCAGGTAAGGATAAATTCATAAATTCACTCAAGTAGAATATTTTCTATCCTGGCGACAAAATTGTTTCTGCTGTAATTACGAATGTTAATTCGCTCATGTGAATTAAATGTTATTGCCGAAAAAATGATTTTTCTCCGTGCAATCGATCTGAGATTATTTCTGAGAGAGGAATAGCTCACCTTCTTCACGAAGGACGTTATCATGTTGTTGCGCAACATCCTGACGGCTGTGTATTTCAATCTTGTCTGTTCTCAAAGGAGGATCCCTAGGTTCCGCCTCTCGTCACTTCCTGCTGACCGACACTGACTGCCGGCATAAAGACGTCCGTATGCCAGCCGTTGATTCACGACGCTCGGCTCACAGCGATCTCGTGACGTCTTCAAAGCCGCAGTATCTTGATTGGCGAGAGCTGGAGCCTCGGCCTCCTGCATCTCCTGCGAGCGGCGTCCTTCACCCTCCAGGCTCTGTCGCCACGTGACTCTGAAAACCAGACGAAACGTTTAATTATACGACGCAAAAGTGGAGCATAATATTCGTGCGAACTGTGGGCGAAAATTCTCTGCCGTTCCCGGTGAAGTCACAATGTGTGCGGACACTAATTCCTGACAGTGCTATTCTTTTCCCGCGCTCGCGGGACGACGCGAGCTTAATTTAATAACGAAACACCGAATAGATCATTTATCATGATTAACTCTCTTCGGGCTCAACATACAAATTCCCCTCTCCGATTTCGCCAGGTGGAAAAAAGGAGTACTCCGGATTTTTCGGTCATAATGGACACTCTGATATTTTCTGAAGTTCGAATTCGATCTGCTTTTATGAATTCCCGCCGCGATAACGAGTTCAACTGGAAGATCGTCCCACTGGGCGGCGCCGGCTTATTCTTGCCGCGGTAAATGGATTTCTACTTTAAAAGCGGTACTGAGGTTTTCCGAGTCCTCGCGCCATACACCACTTTGTAGTTTGCAAACATCGCTCGCACGTTAGCCGGCTGCTTTGAGAGGAATGTTTGGCCGAACGTAACTTCGTTAGAAAGTTTAGACGACGGCAAATATTTGCTCGCGCAAATTAATATCTGGCTTTGTTTCGTGCGCGAGTACCAAACGAGCGCGTTCACACGTGACGATTAATCCCACTTTTACAACGAGTCAAGACATTCGTTTTCATTAATCACAGGTCGAGAATTTCGACAGTGAGTGCCTGTTTGTACAAAGCAAGTAGGATGATAAATCCATGTAGGAATCGTACGGCTAAGTCTGTGTCGATTCAATACGGATTTCATGTTACATTATCAATAGATGAGCGAGAGATGTTACTAATATGATGCTTAAATAGCTCAATAGTAAGAGCCTGAAACACCCGAGTTCGATTCTACGTTAAAGACGCAGTAAAGGTAGACAAATGAAAATAAGTTTATTTTCTATCGAACCGCTCTTTATTTGCTTTTGCAACGCGACGTTTCACGCGCCGTGAAACTTCGAACGGTCTCATACTGGCACGCACGCATACTAACGAGCGACACACCAGCAAAAAGTTACAAAGCTCGTCGTTTATATATTCCAACGTCCAGTATTTTCAAGCGCTGGTAAGCACGCGGGAGACCTGTAATTCTCCCGAGTATAGAGCGGCGTGACGAAACCGTAATTACGAATTCAAACTCGAAAATGTCACGGCGTCCAAAACTAATAATAATGCAGCCGCATGAATAAAACATGCGGCGGACTGCAACGCGCATTCAAGTTTACAATTTAGCCTTTACATTCATTTCACTCAGTGTGCACGCCCGATTCTCTCTTTCACACACTCCGTAGTTAATACAAAAAATATCACAAGAAGCATAAAACTAGGTCTCGAAACTAGGTGGTGCTGCAATTGAAAATCAGCGAACGAGAGATTCGGCGAAGATAACGCGTTGAAATAGCGCGGGACGATCGCTCGAAATATATCCTCTCCCAGTTGAACGCGTACAAAAGACGGTAAATTTAATTTATCCACCCACGCCGCGATCCCCGCTAGCTGCGATTTCCATCGGAGGACTCTTTGATTCCCCGGGGTACAGTTGACCATGACGGTACCGCGATTACACAATTCCGAGACGCGCCTACCGAAACCAATGAAGCCACACGTGGTCGCCGACAACACCGAGCACGAGTGAAAGTAATCCGACCGGACGGTGTCTGTCGACGACATGAAACTTTTCATTCGTCGAACGGACGATGAGCGTTCTTTCACAACGTTGTCCCACGACAGTTCCTCTTAGAGTCTGCATTACACTTGATGTACCAGTCTGGACAACCTCCGATTTGCTTCAAATTAGTCTAGTTTCTTATGTCATCGAAAACGGTGGAATTGAGTGTTATCAATTAAATTTTTATTTGAAAAAGAAATTTTCTTAATAAAATAAACATTTTCAGGAAATAACATTGTCATCTGGTCATTTTTAGTGGCAAATCGGAGGTTGTTCTAACTTGAGTGACTCTAACGCTGTCAATTGGATCGCTCCATCCGGCCGTTTTGAGAGCCACGTTCCGGCAATTAATTTGCGGTGAGACGAATTTCGGGCCTCATGATCGCGTGAATGGCTTCGTTCCGTTCGTTGTTACCGAAATTTGTTGTTCGCTTCGTATAGCTATGTATATACGCGCGGAACGAGGTGATCGGAAGTATCACGCGGTAATAAGGTGCCAATCCACGCGCGCGAAGCCGGTACAATGATGGATGGAATTTCAAGCGCGCCGGGTAACACCCTCAATTCATATCATAATGACCCTTCTCGGGATAATGTCCTTCGTAACGATCGGAGGAGCGTCACGTGAAAATCGGCCGCGAAAATCCGACGGAGTATCCGTCGAGAACGATGGCGCTTCGTGTCGAATAACGCGCTGCTATTTTGCAGATACGTTACGGGGATTAAGTTCTACATTAATTAACGCGCTCGCCGTTAATGCACGTATTCAGCACGGCGAGCGAGAAGCCAGACCACTCGATAGACTCGTACTTTTAATTTGCAACGTGTCGTTCACTGATTTTTATTAGCCATCGACATGTTGCAGAGAAGTTAAGAACAATCGATATTGGGACGACTCGGGGAGCCGATTCCATCGTGAATAAATCACCTTAGAGAAGGAATCAAGCCGCGACAACGAATAACCTCGTTCATGGGAGTCTTCAATGACGTACGAAGCGGTGACAAAATTATCCAGCAGAGAGAGATCGGCCGCTTCACACTACGCAGAAAAGAGCCGGCCGACAATAGTCGGACGGGCTTCAGCCGCAACAATGGACAACGTTTATAGAACCGGGGTCCCCCCCCCCCGTGTAACACGATGAGAGAAAACAATTTCCCCGCGAGAAAGCTGTCAATCTGGAGATAGCGGTCAGACACTATCTCGCGGCTTCCTGCCGACGCGATTCGCCGGAAATCAAATAAGTGTGCGTGCTCTACTTTCTGGGCTCGGCGCGCAGTTTCGCTCATGTCCTCTGAAATAATCTCGCGCGTAACACACTCGATCGATCAATCACCGGTCTCTCACTCGCTAACAGTTCGACAACTATGTTGCATCTATATAACTTCTCGCAACATATATTACACAGGAGCGTTTCGATTGACCCACTTTCGTTTAAAATGTATATGCGATCCGAAATAACGCGCGAATTGAAAAAGGGGGAGAGAGGAGGGAAACGAGAGGAGCGCGCGCGGTCAAATTGCAACGCAACGCCATTTCTTTTGCATGCGAGCGAAATACCACACCGAGAGCGGAAACGTTCGAATTACCGGCGCAGCCTCGGAAACGCATCCGGTTTTCGTAACAACGCGGATAATAATTTCGCCGCGCACTTTTAACCCTTTGAGCGATCATGCCGGCATAAGTGACGGGGACCGTTAATTAAATCCGTCGCTCAAAGCGTCGTGGCAATTTGTTTTAAAATCGCCTTTCTTGATTTATGAGAGATAACCAAAAATAAAGGCGAGCGAGTTTAATTATTATTAATCTACGGTTTCAGTGAACTGTAATAATTATTAATATCGTGCAAAGCGCCGCGTGTGTCGTTCATTTTTTTGTCTTATTTTATTTGAATTATAATTACGGATTTTGAGCGGCGGGTGTCCGCTCCGTTGCGTCGAGAAACGCTGAATATCGATACAGCGAGGAAGGCTATTTCATTTTGGCGCACGCGCCATTTCGTTGAGACAAAAATTCACTTGGAAAAAGGCACTCGCTTATAAATAGCGATTGCGGCGCTAAAGTCACTATGAACCAATATAGCGTCGCCACTTTGTCGTTGCGTTTTCGGATACTCGCCCACAAGCCAATCGTTAACTCAAGGGGAAATCGAGAAACGACCGCGTTAAATTGGAGCATACTATGTAATCGATTACACGAACAAACGCACATATTCAATGGTGAATATTGACTGAACACGATGAAACAACTAGCGACAATCATCGTTGATTAAATTATATTGCATTAAAAACTTGCGCGAGATCTCTCGGTGAAAAAGTGAAATGGCCGGAAAATATATGTGTGTGTGTGTGTGAAAAAATGTAGCACGGTGAAAAAACAAAAATCACCCCTTTCTCTCTCTTTCAATGTAACGGGGACAAAAAAGGTTTTGCACAACACGAAAAGAGCTCTGCGCGATTTGCTTGATGAATTTTTTATAAAGCGACGTTATAAGTTATTTTTATAAATTATTAATAGTGTGCTGTCACACACTGCTCCTGCCGCTCGTTTAGTAAAGTAAAACGAGACCAGGGCTAGTTGACTAATGGGGTAAGTTAGCTAATAGATCATTTTTATCAGGTTTTCTAACAAATTACAGAATCGAGGAATTTCATCCTTGATATTACTGCTTGTTCGATCCTGTTAGAAAATCCGACCCGGAAATAATTATCCAATTAGCCCCTGATATACGGAGAAAATATTATAAATATTATAAGAGTTATCAGAAAATTTTGTAATGCTAGACCATACCGGAATTATGATGTATGTTGTAATCTTTAGTAATGTATTTCATGTGTGCACATTATTAAAAATTACAACACACCTAATAATTTCAGTCATGATTCCGGTATTGCAAAATTGTATAGTTATTTTTCTTACAATATTTTCTCTCTTTTGTTCAATTTAACAAAGCTAATTACATATCGCACCACGCGAAATTTGGCTATTACGTATTTGGTCGGGCCGTTGTTGAACTGAAAACACGTCTCATCGTGGGGTAAATAAGAGGAGAGAAAAAGATTTTCCCCCGGCCAAAGTTCTACGCGATACTTGGTTTCCCCCATCAGAAACAACTTCTTCGTCAGCGATACTCTCTGATGGTGATAAATCGTTACGCCGGGAAGATCGATGATACGCGTATCCGGGCCTCGTTTGTACGCAAGGATTATAACGACCGCCGTTACAAAGCGGCCCATCCGTGTTCCACTCCGCCTCGTGAAACGATGTTTATAGCCCAACGGCTACTTGTTGAGC